GTCAGGAGAAAGGGTTGCAAAGTAAAAGTAGGAAAAAATTCTCTTTTCTCAGTCCTTCTCCACTTTTCCCTAGATATAAATTAGATATAAATATCAAAATGTGCCTTTTAAAGAATTTTAATTTTTTAAAAATACACACATTTGTAAAAATTTTATATTCATTAAAAAGTATAGTTAAATCATATCTTTAACTTTTTAAAATGGAATATTTCATCAAATATACACAAAATAGAATAGTATCTTGAACTCTCATGTAGCCATCATCAGCCCCACCATCAATCTGAGGCTATTTCTGGCCTACCAACACCCTCATATACTCTTCTCTTGTTATAGAGCAACCCCGATATTAAACGGGTTTCTGGCTGTGGGTCCTCACCCGCGCGCTTTAAAGGGACTTATGAATACTCTACTACAGACACACGCCAAAGGGTTAATAAAAGGTTTATTTACAAGAGAAAAGGAAATAAGGAAAATGTACAACTCAGGGAGAAAATAGGGAAATAAAGTCTTTAATGCGTCCTACCCGATCCGACGACCTGGAAACCCAAAGTCACTCTCAGAGCTGGCCGGACGCTGCTAGCTGGTGGAGAGCCAAAATGGGGGAGCCCCCCAAAGCCCACGTGTCTGCCTTTTGTATCCACCTGGCTGCTTAACCCCACCCTCAGGTCCCAGCCATCTTCCCTTTGGTGGTGATGGGATTTGGAGTTCCCAGTGTCTTTGGCTTTGACCTGGGGTGGGGGTGGAGTCCACAAAGCCTATATGGAATTTGCTTTGGGACATCCTTTTCCCCCTAACACTCTCTCCCATAGTACACTATAATTCCAAGACATCCTATTATTTCATCCATTAGCATTTTAGTAACTAACCTAAACAATAGGGTTCTTTTTAAAATAACTATAATAATATCACCACATCTAAAAAACTAGCAATGATTACTTAATACTAAATGTCTATTACTGAAATTTCCAGTTGCTCATAAATTATAATAATAAATGGATAAATGGATTTATTTTTGTTTTAAAGATTGATTCTTTGATCAGCAACCAAATGAGATGTATATATTGCAGTTGGTTATTGTATCTTCTAAGTCTCCTTCAATCAATAGAATGCTCCATTTTTTTTTGCATGTGATTTATTTTTATTGAATAAATCAAGTTGTTTATCCTTAGAATCACTCAAATGCTTTGCTGATTAGACTCCCAGGGTATAGTTTAATGTGTATCCTCTGTTCTCTATAGTTCCTATGAATTGGTAATTGGATGCAAGGTCTCTGTTAGATTCAAGAATCTTTTGTTTGTTTGTTTTGGGTATTTTTTGGAGGGGTTGGAATGACAGGACTTTGTCCTACATGGCATTATACTGATTACATCACTTTTGATGCAGTCTTTTAAATCTATCTTTTGTTTTTACTCTTGTATCATCCTCTGTTTGTTTGACCTATATCACATATCTACAAATAACCCACATTAACTATTTGTGCATATACTTTGATATTTTCTCCATATTTACTTAATTTACTTAAATGTCTTTATTCACATGCACACAGTGATTCCATGTTTGCTTGACTAAAATGAAGTTATGGAAAGCATTCCCAGTGAAGTAGTAAAGTTCTACTTCTTTCTGCCTAATGACTATTAAGTAGTATCCCTTAGCTATGTAAGAGTTAATGGTGAGTGATTCCCAATAGAAAAAGTCTTATCTATTCATCTTTTTATCTCTTGCTTCTAACATAGGCTTAGCATACAATAAACAGAATACCCCAACTAGGGTCTAGATTCAGTTATCTGTAACTACAGAGCATTATCTCCAACTCTTCTAATGGATCCTGATGGGTTCTTTCCTACTGGGTAGTATTTGACTATTACAAATTAGGATGTATCTAGCATGTGCTCTAAATTTCATTTGATTCTTTATCCATCTAAATTAAAACTCTGGGAAAAAGAAATTGCCTACATTTGGAACAAATCAGAAAACTTAGCAAGAGGATTATTCCTAAGACCATGGGGGGAATTTTTTTCTAATGATCTATATGTAGTATGCACTTCGTTCTCTCTAAGAAAGTAACAGGTTTCTTACTAAGCCTCCACCCTTATTTCTTGCAAGTCACCCTGTTGCCAGAAATCCCCGAAGTTTCTGGTTCACTTCCATTGACATTCATCTTCTCTCTTGTTCCATTTACCTTTCTAGAACAATGCTCCCCATTATGGTATTCCTCATCTCACCTTTCAAACCAAGACCTCTTGTTTGGGTAAACTCAAAGGATGTGTGTGTTCTGCAAATAAGAAAATTGTTTTCAAAGAACATACCAAATATTCCCATGACTCAGTCCTTAACTGTTAACATACCTAATTATCTTACAATGTACGGGAAGAAAAGATTAACCTAGCTTCATCTTACATTTGAAAGAGTCATGAAAAGTCAAATGAGTAACAAAGTTCCTAATTTTGACTAAGCCTCGCTATTCATTTATGGGCAGCATTGGGAATTAATCTGCTCTCTTATCAAAGGCATTGTTGGTGAAGTGAGGTGGACCTTTATAGTGAAAATAAGAAAGCTGGCTATTAACAAAGGGAGAAGGTAGAAATTACGGTGTACACTTTTCAAAAATATGAAGTCATAATGCCAATTCAGAGCTATTCAAAGTAACACATTCCACTGAGGGTGACCTCAGAGAGAGGATTATAATATATCAGGAAGGAGGAGCTCAATGTGGTACTCCACAAACAACCTCGCCCTCCCCTGGCCACATTTACAAGGGTGACACCAGCCATACCAGAGGATTTGGATCCATTACAGCCTGCAGCGCCAGGGTAAGTGTGTTCCTCCATTTAACTCAAATTTCAGGATTATCTGTGGTTTAGGTCATTCCCAGCAAAGTGCAGTTGGAAGAAGCTCAAAATGTCTCTTGAGATTGCCTTGGATCTCTGTATTCTTTTTGTATTTTGGTATCTGGAAAAGGATAGAGAAAGCAATTGGAAGAAAATATGGGGGAAGGGGAGCATACAGATTTGGGAGAAAAAGAAAGAGAACTATATGCTTGATGTTTTGTCTCTGGCAGTGTCTAGCCTTTGCCCTATATAGTTACAGCCCAAATATCAACATTGAAGTTTACATTTGAATGAAATCCACAGTGCAATCTTCTGTTTTCATTAAAAAGGAACTAGGAACAAAAATAGAATAGCAACTTGATTCTAAATTTTTTATGATCAGAAGTCTAATGTACAGAGACTTCTAAACAGAGTAACCCTTTTCATAGGATATATTACTAAGGAGTGCAACAAAAGAGAATTTTACACATTAGATGTGAATTTGAATATAGATATTATTATAGTCTGGAGAAGGTGCTGTTAGTAAGTAATTTCATTGACTGAACACCTAGATGGGACACTTAGGAGTGAGTTCTCCGACTCTGGTGCCAGGACTGTAACTAAATCCTTGAATTAGTGCTCTGGAATTGAGGGCTTCACAAAGAACAAGAACTCTCATTGTCAACATGCAAATCAGGCTAAACTTTAGATTTTTAAAAAAAAATTGGGGGGGGGAATTTTTTAAAATAAAGCTGCACTAGACAAGACTATTGAGTCAGCAAAATGTACTATTGTTATAACTTTTTCTTGCCCTTTTCCCTGCTCTACTGCATGACCATCCAGGTGCTCAAGCTCTTTATACTTCTCAGTGACAATAACTGGCTCATGGGAAGGGTCTCACATATTTTTTAATACCTTTTTTCCACCTGGATTTAAGTCAATATATTATTTTTTAAGAGGTTTTATGGTTAAGTTTACTTTGACTTGTGCAATGTTAAAAGGGAAGAAGTATATTTGTCAAAATTTTAGTACATTAAATATTTCACTGAGAAAATTTCTGTCTTAGTTCTTTGTTTTTTTGGAGGAAAAAAACCCCTATTTTAAAGGTGATAGCAGTGTCTAGACTCCGCTAAGACATTTATGTTCATTTATTCATTCACCCGTTTTATTATTAAAACAAACTGAATTTTTAAAAACAGGAACATAGAAACTTGGAAAATCAGAGTTGTATAGCAATAAAATGATATAGAAAGAAAATGAAAGTAATAATCAGTGGAATTCGTACCTGCCAATGTGCCTAAGTGGATAACCTGGGGTGCCTATCAGCATCATCTTCTCCCCACCCCATCACCAGCACCCTCAATAACTCCCATTGTAGTCCCAGGACAGGCCAGGTCAATTGTGGTCAACTTGGAAACAGACCGACTCTGGAAAGGAAGGGAAGCTTCTTCCCTATTTTCACAAATTAAGATTCATAAATTAGTTCCAAAATCTTGTTTCATTAAATTGTCCTCATTTCCTTACTCACCAATGTTAAAAAGAATTAAAAATGGTTATTGGGGCCTTCCTGGTGGCACAAGGGGTTAAGACGCAACCTACGAAGCAATCTGCAGCCACTGCAGCACAAGTTTGACCCCTAGCAGGCCAGGGAGCAACACACATGGCGCAGCAGACCTCTCCTGTCTTGCCCACTGCTCTCCTCAGCAGTGTGTTTCAGTCAGTCTGCCTGTTCTGTTCCCCACTCTGTCTCTGGTGGATCCTGTCACCACCCCCCCACATCTCTGGCCTGTGCCCCAGCTCTTGTATGCATAAATAAATAAATCTTTTAAAAAAAAGAATTAAAAATGGTTAAAAAGAGCCATCAGAACCTGATTTCCCCATCCTACTCTCCCAGGGGAGATGGAATACTAAATTAGCCAAGGAATATCAACAGGAAGGAACATGATCATGAACAATAAACATAATTCAAATGTTAAATGATCAAAACATTGCACCAGACAGTTTACGAAACGTTTTCATCTTAGACTCTTTCAGCGATGCTATTTGGTCAAAATAATGTACTCACAGTTGAAGGAATGTTTTTGATTCTTTTAAGGCCCTGTTAGAAGTTACTACATTTAATTTACTAAAGCTATTGCCCATTCTTTTAGAAACACGTGACCGACAACTCCATCCACTGAAGAGGGGTTTAGTCATCACCCAGTGTCACCACTGCTGACTCACAGTGGGAGGGAGCCGAGGATTTTCAAGTCAGAATTCAGAGTGACAGGAGCCAGAAACCTCCACCCCAAGAGGCTTGGCGTGGTCAGGTGGCTCAACACTTCCTTCCCCAGCACAACGGGCAGGTCACAATCAGCCCAGCGAGTCCACAGCACCTTCTGCACCCCAGTTCATCCTTATTAAGGTAACAGACATAAGATGGCTGCATTTGTCACTTATTCCTTCATCTCTCATGTCAAATTATCTCTGACATGCTTACAAAATTAATCATGTCTTCTAAGTTGTGATCAATTGTTGTGATGTAATAATGATAATAATAATGATAATGATAATAATAATAGTGAGCAGTGAAGGGCACTGGGTCCAACTCTGAGAAATGACTCAGAGTTCCCCAGGACCTTGCCTTAAACACCTCCAGTTCTTTCCTTAATGTTCTTTAGCAACCTGGAGTTTGAATTAAACTTAGAGCTGGTTGCAAGTCTCTCTGTGCCTATTTGACACCATCTGTGAATCTTTTAATTAATTGGAAACTGAAGGGGGATGGGTTCCATGAAGAGTGGGGATTTTACCTGAGTTTCTTACTGGAAACTCATATTTGCTGCTGTCTGCAGGTCTGATGTGTTTTTCTACTTGCTCTAGCAATATTATCAAATTTCAGTTTAGGCAGATGCATGCACGCTTACTAAGCTAAGTGAGAAAATGCCTGTAAGGGCATAAGGAAGCAGGGAAATTCCTCACAGTTTGCTTCCTAGATACATGGGGTAACAGCAATAAACTTGTTTCATATATTAACTCCCATTTTATGACCTAGTAGTTGGCATTTTATATTGAACCTCAGGCCCAAAGTCTGTTTTCTCTTTTACTGCTAACCTACAATGGGAAAGGAAGAAAATCAGTTTAGTGGCATCCCTGCCCCTTAATCTTGGGAGTCCTTGTAAATGGCTTTATGAGTGTCTCTTGGTGGCTTGATTTTTAGCGGGTGAGAGCAAAGTTAAAATACAACATATTTTAAATTAAAATCTATTTGAATCTATTGAACTAAATAGATAGTTCTGAAATGCCTCACTACACCATTTGCTTGAGGGTAAGGAGTGTGCATTATTTAATATTCCATGGCATACAATATATACATTAAGAATACCCTTGGTTAGATGCTGCATAAAATATTGATTGTATTTTTTGAGTTTGGGGCAGTGTCCCCAATTTTTAGAGCAAGCCTCAATGTTTAAATGCAAGGAAAAAATCATTCTTTCATACATTTCCAATAGGGGAAAATGGGAATGGGTCTTCAAATCTTTATAACAGATGTCACTTCTTTATGATACCATCTTTAAAAGCGCAAATCTCTGTTCAAAGATAACTAGCTGAAAGAAATATGCTGAAGGTATATTTTTGGAATCTTGTCACTAAAACTAGAGTAATTTACAACATAGAACCTCTTCCAGTTAGCAATTTTTATCAATGACCATAAATAAATAAATAAACTGTGGCTTTACAATAATTCTTAACTTGTCATCATAGTCAGGAAGCATATTGGCAAAGTTCTAAATCTAGGAAGCACAGGGAACAATGAATTAATAACTATGTGTTATGGTGAATTATATAAAAAAAATTTTGAGAAAAGGCAAAAGAAAATCAGACATACTTTTATCCTTAGAACTAAGAATGCAAAATGTAAATCCAGTGGGCTTCCTTGCACTAAGAGCAGACTGGCGCATCTCTGCTTAAGAGATGGTGTGAATGGGGCATCCCTGGTGGCTTGAGGGGTTAAGACGCAGCACTATGAAGCTTCCGCAGCCACTGCAGCAGGTGTTTAATCCCTGGGCAGGGAGGTGATCCACATGGCACAGCAGACCTCTCCTGTCTCCTCTGCTGCTCCCCTCAGCAGTGTATTTCAGTAGATCCACCTGTTCTGCTCCCCTCTGTCTCTGGTGAATCCTCTTAAACCATCCCCCCCACATCTCTGGCCTGCACCCCAGCTCTTGTATGCATAAATAAATAAATCTTTTTTTTTTAAGAGATGCAGTGACTGAATCTGCAAAAGCGTACACTTCTCCATAAGTCACTGTCCTGCTACACAAAGCACACTCTGGTTACCATAGACCAACCGTCCTACATAAAGCAAGATTAAAGGGTCATGAAACTGGTGCAGGAGCTTCATCCTTTTGGATGAAGGAACTTACAGTCCCATGTGATAAATTCTACCCTCATTTTTATTATCAGCAGTGTCAAAATCATTATTATTGTTTTAATCAGACGCTCAAAGGAACCGTTAGTTGCTTAATGTAAGCACATTTCATGTAGGACCCCTTGGCTCCATTTTAATAATTATTTACATTTTGGGGTGTCTAATTCCAACTTTTTTCCCCACAGACAGAAACATAAACCAGCATTCATGTGAATTGGTTTGTATTAGGAGCAAATGTCCATTTTTCTTAAAGAAAAGTGCAGAAGAAATCCGCAAGTGGCCACTTGGATTGGAAAGAAGCAGCTCCCTACAAGTAAAGGTTAAAAAAAAAAAACAAAAAACAGGAATTTAGTACATTAATGAGGTTTACAATATTTAAATGTCAAGGGACATACTTGCCCAGAGTGTTGTCAGTATTAAGAAATCTTGTGCAAGAAAATCTCATTAAAAATAGAATGTTTTAGAAAGTTGTTGCTAAATGCTTTCAATTTGATGTATTTTGGCAAACAACTTAGTTGTTGATTCAGCTTAGGCCACAATTGTAACAAATTAAAAACAAATAAAGATTCTACAGATTTCCTTTATTGTGACTAAGGTTAGTACTACTTTCTAATATGAAACCCTGAATGTTGTTATGTGGAAATAAAATCAAGTGGTGGAGGAGGAAGTATCTAGAAGGAACTTGACATTTCTCATAAAAAAATATACCTCACAATGACATTGAGACATCATTTTACATTCTCTTTTTTTTTAAATTGTGTCACTTATTTTATTTTTAAGGGAAGAAGAGGAAGAGAGAAGTAAAAGCAGAGGATCTTATTTTAAATTTCTTGTTAGGAAAAGCAACCCAGGAATACAAAATTAAAAGAAGCAGAAGTGAGCAAGGACCACAGCTGAGTTGCAATATTTTCCTACAGCTGCAGATAGGCAGTTATTATGCATTTTGCATGGCAAATGATAGAGAAAATTAGTTGCCCTTTCTTGGTTCTTTTTGAATCTTTGTGGCCTAGTAAAGAACTTTGTTTTTTTGTTTTGTTTGATTTTTTAAAGATTTATTTATTATTTATGCATACAAGAGCTGGGGTACAGGCCAGAGATGTGGGGAGTGAGAGGATTCACCAGAGACAGAGTGGGGAACAGAAGAGGCAGACTGACTGAAATACACTGCTGAGGGGAGCAGCGGGCAAGACAGGAGAGGTCTGCCTCACCATGTGGGCTGCTCCCTGGCCAGCCGGGGATGGAACTTGTGCTGCAGAGGCTGCAGATTGCTTCATAGTGCTGTGCTTAATCCTGTGCGCTGCCAAGGAGGCCTGTAAAGAACTTTGATAAAGTGTTTTCATTCCTCCTATTGACAGATACTGCATTCATCTCTTTGCAATTCTTCTTCCTCTTTTTACATGGTTTAGGAATTCAGAGACTGAAATTTTAGTTCTAGCTATTCTCTGGCAGGTGACTATATACTTAGCACACAGAAATATTTTCACAATTAAATGAGGTAAATATACTGGAGCACTTATCAAAAAACCTTAAACTTATCTAAACAAGAAGTAGGGTGATGATGATGGTTCCAAGACTAACACAATTATCACCAGAAACCTGCAGGTACAGAGGAAATCTCGTTCTTCTATGGCTCTTTCACCTTCTTGCTCACAACATCTATTTGCTCAATGCCAAATATCATGCAAAGCAATGGTGGGGTGAGAAGTGCCCCCACACATACCCTGAGTGGAGTGGGGATCCAGGGGTCAGTTCAGCAGAGGGTTAAAGAGGATGGTGAAACATGGTGGCCTGGGTATTTTTCCCAGAAACAGTAATACAATTGTATATTATATATTGCATTTCTGAATTCATTTCTTCATCTGTAAAGTAAGTATAATCTTATTGCAAGGTTTTAGTGAAATACATATTTATAGATCCTAGCAGAAGGCCTATAACATGGTGAGAACTCAATAAATCATAGCAGTTACTATTACTCCTACCTGACTGGATCAACTGGGCATCCCAATGACCATGGATTTTCTAGAAGAACATTCTAAATTCTGTAGAGTCCCCTGTCTACTCACCTAAAGAAAACCTACACAGGAGATTGTCAGGACCCCCAAACTCAAAAGTCTCAGTCAGAACTTATTAATAGTTTTCACAAACATTGTGAGTGCTAATTTGGTAATTTCTAAATTCAAAATGAGATCATATATACCTTTGTTGCCTGTCTCCTAGTATCCTGAAAACAAAAATACATTATTTATTTATTTATTTTGAAGATTTATTTATTTATGCATACAAGAGCCAGGGTACAGGCCAGAGATATGGGAGGTGAGAGGATTCACCAGAGACAGAGTGGGGAACAGAACAGGCAGACTGACTGAAATACACTGCTGAGGGGAGCAGCGGGCGAGACAGGAGAGGTCTGCTGCGCCATGTGGGTAGCTCCCTGGCTGGCCGGGGATCAAACTCGTGCTGCAGAGGCTGCGAATTGCTTCATAGTACAGTGCTTAACCCCTTGCGCCACCAGGGAGGCCAAAAATACATTTTTTCAAGTGACAGAAATCTATGCTGATAGCAGAAAGACAGGAATAATATTTATAGGTAACATAGCTTTTCTGGTAAAACCAAAAAAAAAAAAAAACCAAAAAACCTCTCATGTGGTACTACTAAGGAACCAATGACCAGGTTTCCAGAAAAGTAGTTCTGGATGCGGTGAAGTTCTGGACCCCCGAGACAAGGAAGCACTATACCACACACTGGAGGGCAACTTGTTACTCCAGGGGATATTTGGCATTATATGGAGATGTTTTATGTTGTCACAAAACAGAAGAGGGCGCTATTGGTGTCCAGGGAGTAGAGGTCTGGGGTGCTGCTAAAGAGCCTGCAACACACAGGACAGACCCCTCATTAGATAATCATCCAGGGCAAAATATCAAAAGTAAGGCACAGAGCAGACCCTCCCAAAGCAGAAGTGATTGACACTTCCCAGGCAGTGGGACGTTTAGTCACCTCATTTCACCACATCTTTCCAAGGTAGATATTATTATCTCTGTTTTAAAGATAATAAAATAGAGGCTAAGAAAAGATAACTTGCCCAAGGGCCTTCTGATGATAGAGCCACTGAACCTGAACTGCCTGCTTCAGAGGCCTGGGCTCCTAACTTCTGCTGGTGTATGTGTGTGTGCTGTGCTCATAGATGCTGGGGTCAGTGGTGACTCTGTCCTTGGTTCCAAGATTTTTACTAGCAAAATGGCTAGTGTTTGTTTTTGGAAGACCATCTTTATGGTCAGGTCAGAGGATGTTTATTTCGAATTGCCCCCATCTTAATGCTTCGGGTTTAGGGCTAAAGGTCTGTGGCTTTCTCAGTCTTGATGAGCTCACAGCCCCTTGATGTTGAGGACCCTCTCTTGCCTGAAGCCAAGAGATTTGCATGCTTATTAAGCAGTCAAAATACATGTTAGCCAACAATTCAAACAGCTGAGGTCAGTGTCCTGAGTCTGAATTGTTGGGGCCAGTCATGTTCCATGAGGAGATGACCATAGGGGCAGAGTATGATGGAGGCAGTGCTATTAGTTGCTGTTATTCATTTACTTCTCAGTGGTCAATGACCCAGCTGGCCATCAATCAGCTTCTATGTGCAAGTCATGTTCCCAATGGCTCTGACCAAAGGCTCTTTCTCGGCTGTGGCATCTTCACTAAAATACTATTAGAGTTCAGCATGTGTGTTGGTTGTTGACAGACTTAGTCCAATGACCTAGGAAGAAATTGAAACCTAGGAAGTGAAGAAAAACCAATTTTTTTTTTTTAACAAAAAAAAGGGGTAAGGGTTGACTTTGTAAAATGCTAGGTCAAAGTCGACAGTCTCTTAGTTTCAGGCTGGAGGTTGGGACACCAGTATCTGAATGACCCTTAGCCAAGAGGTCTACCTAATGAGACAGCACAATTGAATGCGAACCCAACTTTGACAACTAAAGAGCACCTCTCTGCTTGTCAGCACAGGTGAGTACGAGGCAGGAGAAGGTTGAAGGGGAGATGGAGAAGATGAGCAGGGAAGGGGGAGTTCAACTGCTTTAGTTTGCTTTTGTTTTTCTCTGGTGGTTGTAGAGGTGAACTTTCCAAAGAATAAAAGCAGAAAATTTGGTGCCCAAGTTTACTAAATCTTACTACGTCCTTATCTATTTTGTGCAGGGAACTGAAGGTAATTCAATGAAGCTTTTTCTCAGGAAAAAAAAAAAGTTTGATTTTCACTTGGTATATGCTTAACTTTTTATTTTGAAATACTTTCAAGCCTATGGAAAAGTTCAAAGAATAATACAACCCAGATTCCCCAAATTTTAACATTTTACCATATTTGCGTTCTCATTCTCTTTATACATATATGAATGTTTTAATAGGTTGATTTATCTTTATACATACATTATTATTTGAACTCTTTGAGACTAAGTTGAAAACATGGTGCTACTTAATCTTTAAATATTTCAGTATTTCCTAAAAAGCAGGACATTTTCTGCTTTTTGGTGATTTCTGCTTCAATCACCGAAATTGAGATATCAATATTAATGCAATATTATTTTTTGTAGATTTATTTTATTTAGCTATGAATACTAGTGGTGGGGTGTAGGCCAGAGGTGTGGGGAGTGAGAGGATTCACCAGAGACAGAGTGGGGAGCAGAACAGGCAGACTGACTGAAATACACTGCTGAAGGGAGCATTTCTGCATTGCTTTAAAGGAGTGGTTTAGCACTTAAATGACCATTTCCCAACCAAATAAGAGAGAGAGTTTAACTCTCTCTCTTTATTCACTCAAATGCATAAAAATATCTCAAGTTCACTAATCCTGGGTAATAATGTCTTGATAGTTCTAATGTGAATTTTCTTTCTACTTTTGAATATTCAAGGCACCATCTTCTGTTGTTCAAGAAAGGAGCGTCCCTGTCACGTATAGGGGGGAAAATGCTCGTTTGGCTGTTAGCCCTCCTCATCTTCTGTGTTTTCCTGTGGAATTATGAAGGACAACGAAAGATTGCAGACATCAATGATAAGTACATTTTCATTACTGGGTGTGACACGGGCTTTGGAAACTTGGCAGCTAGAACTTTTGATGAAAAGGGATTTCATGTCATCGCTGCCTGTCTGACTGAATCAGGATCAGCAGCTCTAAAGGCAGGAGCCTCAGAGAGGCTTCACACTGTGCTTCTCGATGTAACTGACCCAGAGAATGTCAAGAGGACTGCCCAATGGGTGAAAAGCCACGTTGGGGACAAAGGTGAGTGGGGAGAAGGGAGGGGTTGTTGCAAAATAACTAAAGCCTAATGTTTATATTTTTAATGACCTTTCAAAGAAATGTTCCTAAGTGTGTGCCAAAGAAGAGTGGGCTATTAAGAATAGCCTCTAAGTAGTTCAAGTTGCAAACTCTCTGTTTGTGTAAGAGACAAGGCCTGAATTATCCTTTCTCTACTCCCAGGGAGTGAATTTAGACTGAGATGGAGGTTTTGACTTTTCCGAGTCTTGTCCATGAAGTGCCAATCCAGCCACGTACACAGCCAAAGAACTTGGAGGTTAAAATCTACAGGAGCACATGAGAGCAATTCTCTAATTGTCACCTGAGTAGCTGGGACCCAATTCTAACTACAAAATAATTCAAGAACTTTCATGTTTTTGATGGGGAAGATAGAAAATTGTATGAGGATTTGCATATAGGTGTCTTAGCTGCTCAGAAAAGAATAGTGAATCACTGGACTCTATTAGGTTCTGTACTGACAGCTGCATTCTGAACTAGAGGACTTTTATTGGCTTGAGTGAATTTGAAGTGTTCCCTTAAATGAAGCTATTTAGCTCCGCAAATCAATTTTTTTTCTGTATCACATCTTCATCATATATTTGAGCAATGGTTTGATAAGGCTACAGATAATTTCGAATGTTGGGATTCCAAACACCCTTACCAATGTTAAATGTTTGCCATCATAAAATAAATGAAATGAATGGTTAAATGTTTGCCATCATAAAATAAATGAAATGAATCTTTTACCAAAAATAAACACAAAATAGATTGATGTTGCTCTTCATCATATAGAAGAACTTATAAATATTCTCTGGCCTTGCCTTTAGCAAATTTGGAAAAGCAGACCAGTTTAGTCTACATCTGAGATTAAAAAGCAAAGTTTCACTCAGGCAGCGTCAGCATTTGATGTTCAGAACCACAACTAGGATAACCATGTGACGGGCTTCCAGTAACAGGACATCAGTAATTTCAATTTAGCCTCTCATCCTCTCTCATGACTTCCCCAAATGGCGAAGTATTTCAAAGCAGGAGTATGATTAGGAGGAAATGACACATTGTGTAAATCAGGTGCTGTATTTCTATTAAGGAAGCCATATAAGTGCAACTTTCTACCACACCACCCTTCCCTCCTCTCTGTTTTAGGTCTCTGGGGCCTGATTAATAATGCAGGTATTCTTGGGGTGCTGGCTCCCACTGACTGGCTGACGTTGGAGGACTACAGAGAGCCTATTGAAGTCAACCTGTTTGGACTCATCAATGTCACATTAAATATGCTTCCTTTGGTCAAAAAAGCACAGGGGAGGATTATTAACGTCTCTAGCATTGGAGGTCGGCTTGCATTCTGTGGAGGGGGTTATACTGCCTCCAAATATGCAGTAGAAGGCTTCAATGACAGCTTAAGGTAAAGCAAACCTTGACAGATTAGGAAATAACAGTTGTTAACTTCTTTTTTTTTTTGAAGGTGCTTGAGCTTCTATTTTTTTATTTTATGTATTTTTTACATCATTTTTCATTTTTGCACAATATATGCATTTTCATCTTGGATATATTCCCCGTACAATTCCCACCCCCCTTGTTTTGACCGTAATCCCTCCTACAATCCCCCCACCCCCCTAGTGTGTGTCTGGTTTACAGTTGCTTGTTGATTTTGATTTTTACTTTATTATAATTAGTCTTTTTCCTGGTCCCTTATCTAGGTTTCCTGCTATGAGTGAGACCATCCGGTATTTTCCTTTTTCTTTCTGGCTTATTTCGCTGATCATGATCCCTTTCAGCTCCATCCATGTTGCTGCAAATTGCATGTGTTTATCTTTTTTGATTGCTGAGTAATATTCCATTGTGTATATGTACCATATCTTCTTGATCCAGTCATCTATTTTTGGTCATTTGGGTTGTTTCCAAAGCTTAGCTATTGTAAGTAGTGCTGCTATAAATATAGGGGTGCAGGTGACCTTTTGAATTAATGTTTCTGTGTCCTTTGGGTAAATACCTAGGAGTGGAATTGCTGGATCATATGGAACGTTTATTACACATCAGACACCCTATTTAGTGCTTTAAGTAGCTCCCAATCTGCGGATGATACCATTGAAATTAAGAGAGATGAAGTATTTTATCTAAGGTCACCCAACTGGTAAGTTATAGGACTGACATTTAGACTAAGTCTTCGTAAGTCATTTTTACTTTTTGCATTAATACATGATGCTGCTGCTGATGGTGACTTGATATTCAACAGGTCAGTTTGCTAAACAGTCAGGGAATCAAATTGAGTGGCTAAATCAAGGTAGGTCTCTCCACTGTTATTCCAGCACATCTTATCAAAACCTTCAGTTGAAAATTATCTGGCTACACAGTAGCCAGTCTGGGATGTGGAAGATGACCTGGTCCAGAGTTCCTTCTCTAAGGCAGCTACACACACACAAACACACACACACACACACACACGCGCACGCACACACACACGCACACACACACTTATGGTGCATTAGCTATATCATGGGGTCAATTTCCTGAGCTGCCACCTCTCAGTGGTCTCCCCTGTACCCTGGCACTGCCCTCCAGCCAGAAGTCATTTTCTGTTTACTTTCCAAAAAGTGTGCCTGGTATGGAGCCACATGATGGCAGGAAAGAGAGAGGTAAAAAGCAACAAGGTTTCTTCCCATCCTATTGGAGCCACAGTAACTCAGAGAAGTTCCCCTTCACTAAGAATTTTAGACCCCTACAGGTTCCCAGGTCTGTCACTGTCTTGCTGCTGCTGCCATTGCCACCAAGTTACTATAATGTAGGCTGTGAGGGGACAGAGAAAAGGAAGAAAGAATTTAAATGATAAGGATTTCCCCCACTCTTTTTAAGATTTCCCCTTTCTACTCCTCAAGCCACAACAATGGACTTCCCCTGGGGTTCTCTCTGTTCATGAATGCTGTTTCTCCTGGAATGCTTTCCTTCTGCTTCTGAGTTTTCTCTTGATTTGAGTCCAAATGGGGGCATCCAGAGTGGAGGAAAAACAGGAAACTTACTATTGGTTCAAAATCTGGTCTTCTTTGCTCATTCACCTACTAGTATTTACTTTTTAGAGTTCTTAAATAGTTGCGCTACTTTGTAACTGCATTAAGTGGGAGAGACAGGGTCTGTGTACATCATCGCACCCTAAACCACATGTATCACCATCCATTCAAGCTCCTAAATCGCAGTGGTTGTATCAGTCAAGGTTCTGCAGGAAATGGAGGTGCAGTAAAATTGGGGCAATAGATCTTGTTGAAATGCTGACTTAGGTTCAGTGGGGCTGGGGAGTGGCCTGAGTTTCTGCATTTCTAAGGAATGAGCTACCCATAGTTCAGGGAGCACACTTTGAGGAGCCAAGTCATGGAGAACCTCCATTTTCTCCTGGATCCCCCTTTAGTTCTACTCTATAGACAACAGTGTCATAATAAAATTTTAATACACTTAAAAAGTCAGTTCATTTTAAAAAGAGATTTCTCCTGAAGGGTTTGTGGCATTTGCAGTGCAGTTGTACCTTGCCAAAAGTAATCAATAAGAAGAGTAGATTTCTCTCTAACTGATGGAGCTGGTTTGGAAATGGTATTGTACAAGTAGGCCACAGAACAGTAACAGTTCCCAGAATTTTATATATATAATACATATATATGAATATATGTATTATATATATATATATAAATGAATTTAAGGGCAGTGGTTCAGTTTGGGAGAGGGCTGGGGCTCTTTGTTTCGCAGCAAACATTCTGGTTTAATACTGGCTATACCTCCTGGTAAGCTTAGTTGGATGACTTAAAGCTATTTTCCCCTAGCTTGTATGTTGTTTTCATGAGTGTGTAGGTGACAAGTCCCAAAGACCCCCTTGGGATTGCTACTTTGCAAACTGCAAAGAAAGAGCAGGCAACAGGTGAGTAAAGTACAACAGAGTTGGACAATAATGTTTTTATTCATTTATTTTCTAGTGAAGTAACATTGTTTAACAACACTGTATATGATTCAAGGGACTAGGCTCAAACCTCCTCAGAGGTATGTTACCAACTACCCTCACCACCAAACACCCTTAGTCTTTTACCTTAGACCTCTGGGCTCCATCCCCACTTTGTACCCACTACCTTCCAGGCTCTTCCTCTGGTAACCTCGATTCCACAGTCATATTTCTAGGGGTTGCTTTATCAATTCCTCTTTGGTTTCTCTCTAGTCTACATATGAGTGAAATCATCCAATATTTGTCTTTCTCTTTGTGACTTATTCTAGCAAAATCCCCTCTAGCTCCATGGATATTATCTAACCTTTTAAAATTTAATGTAAGACTGATAGAGAAGAGGGAAGGGAAGAGTCAGGACAAAGCGGAGGAGGGCCCAATGGCCTACGGTAGAGGATTCTGGTTGCCTTAATAAGAGGAGGTGGTGTGGTGACATCCATCTCAGGAGGTATTAGCCTATTCTCCTAAATCATATACAGTATTGTAAACTAATGTTACCTCAATAAAGAACAATAAATAAATTTTAATGCAGATAACATACCTTTCAAAAATCCTTCAAGGTCAAGCTAATTTTCATTTTTAGTAAAATATACTGAAATTTACAATAGGTCTATTGTCAGGAAGCAGAACCAATGATAAATTAATTGCATTTTATGTTCACTGGTCATGTTCTTTAAAAATCTTATGGTAAATTCTTCCACCACATTCCTGGTGGAAATAAATATTAAATTTCGGGAACTATTATTTACATAATGGTCTGCATTACATTGGTTTGCTTTAAGAAAGTGGCACCATGATTCCCCCTACAACCTTGGCCAATAAAGGAGTAGACTTTGGGTTTTCTGTGGAGACATGATAAAGGAACTTGTTAAGCAGCTTATGGGACAGGCTAGTCACGTCACAATTGCCAGTGTTTCCTTCAACATGTCATCATTTGTGCTGCAAGCTGCTCAGATCTTAGACTGGAGGTAAACTAGTCCATCCAGGCCAGTTGTTAATTGATTTTACCAGAAGGTTCTTTGAGTACTGGCAAGAAACCCATCCCTAGCCTGGATGCTTGTCCCTTTAATGAGAATGTGGCTGAGAGAGGGGGCACTGGACAGGGGCAAATCCACCCAGATCTTGTTTTTTCTTGTCACTAAGCCAGCCCTCACTTCACCACTCTGAACTTCCATTTCCTCATCTGCAAAATAAGAAGGCAAAACATGATGTTCCTTTCCAATGTGCCCAATTCTGTATTTACATGAATTCAGAACTCACAAGAAAATAGTCAGCAAATAGCAAGCATTTACCAACTAGACCTGGATTATATATCTTCAGTGAGTTCTTTTCACAGACTGGACATGAAAGCTTTTGGTGTGCACGTCTCATGCATCGAACCAGGGCTGTTCAAAACAGGGCTGTCAGATCCAGTGAAGACCACTGAAAAGAAACTTGCCATTTGGAAGCATCTCTCTCCAGACATCAAACAACAATATGGCGAAGGTTACATTGAAAAAAGTGAGTTTCTGGGTAGACCCAGGTTCCTCTGGGGTTCATCACCTTAGACAACATGAAGGAGGCTCAAACATAACTTTAAAAAATGAGATTTTCATAGTAATACACCAATAGAGATTTTAAATATAGATCAGGGATCCTATTAATTCCAGTTTCATCTTTCTTCACCTTGTCTTCTCTGAATGTTTGTAAACATTTATAAGGTGCCAAGTTCTATACTAAATGCCTTGTGGAACATATCATTTGTTCCTCAGAAGAACTAGAGTAGTTAGCAGAGGCTTGAAAAGGCAGAATGTCCAAGATTATTTATACCTGGTCATGCCCAGACAGGAGCCCATGGTCTTCAATGTACATATACCTCCTCTTTTCAGTAAATGCCAATCACTCACTCAACATGACATAAGGATTTCTGGAGATTGCCATACATAGACTCTGACCTTATCTACAGGCTGATAACTAATTTACAATGTGACAACAAAAGGTGCAACTGTAAAACAATGAGATTGCACAGTGTGCAAGAGAAGCGATCCCTTATTTCTTAGATACAACCCAAAGGCCCAGATGGGGTGATCTCTAGTTGCTGGTGATATTTGGACCAGGCAAATAGCATTGTGGTGAAGAAGACTTTATGGGAAAGATTAGGCTTGACCAAGCCCTAAATTATTTGCATGGAAAGTTCCTAAAAAGGAATGCATAGAGGCAGGGATGGAAGGAAATGGAACATAGATCAGATTGAGTCAGCGGTGAAGGAGTAACCATAAACATCAGATTACCGTGACTAAACTACAGTGCATGTTTACTGTGTACTTGTCACCATTCTAAGTGCTTTTGCACTTTGCAGCAGACATCCCTTAGTTTGATAGAAACAGAGGCAGAGGGAAGTAACTTGCCTGAAGTTGCACAGCTTGCAGGTGGAGAGCTAGATTCGAACCCAGGTAACCTGGCTTTGTCATCAAGTTTTGGGCACCAAGAGTGATGTAAACAAGGCATGAAGGGGCTGGTTGAACTTCCTGGTTCAGGGCCTCACCTGCTCAAACTTCCTGGCCTTGTTAAAGTTTACTTGATATTCCTCACAGAGTTAATGAGTTCCAGCTTTGAGCCAAACAGGGCCCCACCTAAGGCTGTGTCACTCTAACACTCCAATCTGTCATCCTGTCTCTTCATCAGTGGGTTTGGTCAGCAGCCAACTGTGGTAAAGTTTAGAGCCAAGATGTTGCATGGTGTTCCTAAAAGCCAAGCCAGATGCACCTGGGGACATTTTAGAAATGACTGGCTCCTCCAAACAGCACCCCCAAACACACACACACACATACACCCACACCCTATATATCAACTAGAATGTCTGGTTTGACAAGCCTCCCAGTGCTGACAAGCCACCATAGGCTCAGAATCACTTTAAATGCTCTTTCTTACTCGCCAACTCTGAAGGTTCTAAGTAGGTTCAGAAATAAAACCTTCATTTGAAAGAGTTTTCTCTGCTTGATATTAATTTGGACACCTTTTTAATGCCTGTCACAGGATCATCAATTTGTATCTCAAAAATTATTTTGGCTGTGGGCTCCAGTTCATGTATCTTATCTCAGGAGTCCCAAAAGGCACAGAGCTTGATTTTGCACTGGTGGTTTTTATTAAAGTTTCCAAGTCAGGCCTTGGAGCTCAGCCAGAATCACAGCTCCAACGTAGACCACAAATGTTAAGTTCACTTTTCTACATAGTAAGAATTAAAAATAGCCACTATGATTTACTAGGAAGCCTTAATTAGGTTATTTGAGCAATTTATGGCTACTTGGGTCTGAAGCTGAAAGGTATAAAAACATGCATTCTGCTTTGCAAAGACAAAACCCCTGCATGTTTTAGGACAACTAGGTGGAAAGCTCTGAGCCATTAGCAATCCCTTGATAAAATGCCTGCCTCTTTAAATGTGTAGTGGCTCATTACTCAAACACCCCATTTGCCTGAAAAGTAGTTTCCTGAATCAGGACATTGGGGATGATTCTCTCTTTATTCACTAAATCATGAGGCACATGGCATATGAGTGCACACGCATGCATGCACATGTTACACCCACACTTCAAACAAATTAGGAATCAAACCCACAATTTCTTGGCTCAGGAGCCTCACAAATTTTGTGAAGTACCTTTTTCTTATTGCCTAAAAATAGTACTTCTCAAAGTCTGATTCCTGTCCAGAACCATCAGGATCATCTGGAAACTTGATAGAAATGTAAATTCTCAGGCCCCACTTTATAGCTATTGCATTAGAAATTAGAGGTGAGACCCAGCAATCTGAGTTTTAACAAGCTTTCTAGAAGATTCTGCTGCTTGCTCCAGTTTGAGAGTCATGGGGCATTGTTTTCTGAGGAGTAGATGGAAATCCATATCCAGGGGCCTCAACTGTAACAGCAGATTTAAAATAAATTCTAACACATGCCTCCTCCCCTCCACACCCCGGCCTCACACACACCTTCTTCCAGGGGTAAATGTGTTTGTGTCTCTTGTTACAGGTCTAAACAAACTGAAAGGCACCAGGTCCTTTGTGAACATGGACCTCTCCCTGGTGGTGGAGTGTATGGATCACGCTCTCACAAGTCTCTTTCCTAAGACCCGTTATGTTGCAGGAAAAGATGCCAAGACTTTTTGGATTCCTTTGTCTCTTATGCCAGCAGTTTTGCAAGACTTCTTATTGTTGAAAAGGAAAGTGGAGCTGGCTAATCCCAGAGCAGTGTGACTCAGCTGACCACAAATGCCTGCCTCAGGCTAGGAGATTGGCTGATTTCAAGGACTCATCCCTAGACCATGCTGCTTTTGACAAAAGGAGGGGTCCCACCATCACTGATGATGTCCCAGAGTCTCTTTTCAAGACTTCTTTGAAAAGAAGAGCAAGAATGGCTCATCATAGAGGAGAATGGGGCGGAGGGCCGGGGGGTGGGCACTTGCCTTCTGTTTAAGCTTAGCCTGTGTGGAATAAACTGAGGGAAATAGAAATACTTTTTTTTTTTAAGATTTATTTATTTATTTATACAAGCACTGGGTAGAGTCAGAAGCGCGGGAGGGTGAGAGAATTCACCAGAGCCAGAGCAGGGAGCAGAGCAGGCAGACTGAAGAAGTACACTGCTGAGGGGAGCAGGAGGCACGGCAGGAGAGGTCTACGCGCCATGTGGGGCCCTCTCCTGGTGGCCAGGGATTGAACCAGCGCTGCAAAGGCTGCAGGCAGCTTCGCAACCCAGCGCTCAACCACTGCACCACCGGGGAGGCCCAAATAGAAAGATTTTCTGATCCAAAATACTCTTCATCACTGCCTGCCCTGTGCTTCTAGTCCCACCACTTTGAGTAACTCCTGAATATTAAATATTTGTCCTTTATCAGAACATCCAAAGATAAGTAAAATGCTTTCAGAAGTGGATGAGAGATGTTCTGTTATCCATTGAGAACAAGAATCAGCAGGACTGGAGTTCAGTTCTGTAAGCTTCATGAGATCAGGAGAAGGAAGAGAAATAAACCATTGTATGACTGGTATAAGCTAAGGGGAGGCAGAAAAAAGCAAGGTAGAACTGCAAGTAGGAGGGCAGGAAGAGAGGAAAAGGAGTAAGAAGTCTGAAAGAATGGAGGTAGGGAGCCTCCAAAGCAAGCCTGCCTTCGCAGGGGTAGCTGCAGAGGGTGAGCTGCCTATTCAAGATACTGTGAACGTCCATGCACACAGATGTCTGTGAAAAGATATAAATAGGCTAAACAAGCATTCAAAAAGAAGAAAAATATAGGGTCTTTGTTTATTCTGGAGAATGTAAGATAACAACACCCAGAATCCCTGATATAGCTCCTACTTAGATGATTGGAAACCCAGTATATGTGCCCCCATTAAGCCTCATGAAGATACAGAGCTAAATTACAGACTCTCTTTAGCCTGTTGTTACAGTGAGAGCTGGTCTGTTTCCTGCTTATAGTCATGCTTCTAAATTAGATCAACGCTGAGCCCATGCCCCATCTAAGAGAACAGTTCTCTAAACAGATGTCTCTCCAGACTCTGTGCCCAGCATCATTCTCAAAGATTTGTTGTATCTTTACATAAAAATCCCTGAAGCATCAGAATTCAACATTGGTTTTGGGATAACACAGGGTAAAAGAGCCAGAGAAATAATCTAATATATATGCACACATATAAACACACCAGTTGTTCCATCTGCTGCTTGAAACCATGTCCATTTGAGGATATCAGTAATTCTACTCATTTTCATTCACTTTTGGGAAACATCTGTAAATGAAGTAACATCTTCAAGCTTATCACATTAATGACTTTGGAAAACCAAATTACCAAAGGTGTCAGTCCACCTAGATATGTACTTCATTATGGGGGCAAGGGGAGGATATATTTATTCTTTTTCCAAGTAGATGAAGAAAATCATAGCAAGAATGAGAAATCCAGGCAAAGTTAACTCTTGTCACTATCTACCTATGAAGTCTTCCCCATCTTGGCCGTAGCTCCAGAGACAGTTCACCTGTAGATATTTGACTGTTTCTGGCTGCAATTCATCACCTATGCATTAGGTGACATTCTCAGCTTGTCCTTGGAGCTGCAGTTCACCAACATTGTTTGTTGGGGCTCTTTCTTCTGAGAATTCCCAGCTCTTGGGTTTATTTCACCGCTTTAAAAGTGTCTGACTGCTGTATGTGGCCTTCCAGGCCTCTCAGGGTTGCTTAGACTTTTAAAATCCCCAGGAACCTCCTTTATTGACAAACCAACCACACCTGTCATGTGGGGTCTACCCAACAGTGTTATTTTGCTTTGCCTACACCTGAGTTCTTTACTCCTTTCTCCAAATAGCTACAGACCAATTGTTATCAAAACACCTGCTTCATCCAACTGAAAACCGGCTCTACTTAAATAAATACTCACAACTATGGTATTACCTCGAAATAAAACCAATTGTATTCACCTAAATGAAACAAGCTAAATGTCTCATCCTACTTTTCACAAGACCTGAAGTTTCATTACTTCAGGTCTCAAAACCATGCCTTTCCCTATGACAAGGAGAAAGGTGCTCAAAGGTAGCTCATAGGCATCAGGATGGATTTCAGCTAAACCTCAAACTGTGGGCAGAGTCCCAGGGTGAGCACGGGGAAGCTGGAAGGAAAGGTTCTTATAGCATCCAAGGAGCTTGTAACCTGTGCCCTTGCTTAGTTTAGTGATCTATGTACAGTTATCCAAAATATTTTCTTACCTTTAAAAATAAGAGTTCTAAGTGGATATGGTATAAAGAAAACTCTATGAAGGGTTTACAGTGAAAAATCTAGTTTTTCTCCCACTACATGCCTGGTCCTAAGAGCTCAGAGCTTCTCATGTGTCTTTCCTGAAATGTGCACATGTATAGACACCCTCCCCACATAAATGGTAGCATTGTGGGTAGACTGGACACACTTTTCTCTCTTTTGCTCTATGTGTTCAAATTGTAATGAACCAAAGACTGAACACCTTTAAAAACAAAGTTCACAGTTTCTTTTCAAATGTGGTCCAGGCTTAGTCCATAGGTGTTCATGATTCCATCGTGTTACTTTTTCAATATATGACTGTAAGGGGCAGGACAGGGCACAAGGCAGGTTTTCTGATCCCATGCAGATCGGGTAAAGGAGGAGTCAGAGTCCTCAGTAGTTTTGCAGGTTTTTTATTTGGGGTTCACCAGGCATATGGCAGGCAGGGGTGCTGGCTGGGGGGCTGGGAGGCTGGCAGGCCTCCCAGCCCCCAGCAAGTCCTCACTCTATCTGGGCTCTCTAGCGTTCGTTCTGCTGCTTCTCGGCTGCGGCTGCTGCTGCTGCTGGTGCTGGTGCTGCTGGCGTCCCCCCGTGACGCCGCCCTTAAAAGCACAGTCTTAGCTCAGCTGAATCCCATCTACCTATGCCCACACCCTATTCCAGGTGCCCACCATCAGGCATGCATTCAGGACAAGGATCCATCATCTATCCTGATGGCGGAAGGGCAGAAAAGCCTGATATTTTCTTTACCCTACAGTCCACCCCCTCAGGGTTTTCTGCCATACAGTCTATACATATATACACAATTTTCTAAGCAAACAAACAATGCAGCCATGGCCCACAAAAGCAAATACATCAAATAACAAAATACAACATAACAAAATACAACAGAACACAAATAAGTCCAGGCAGGGCACCAACCAAGTGCAAAAGACAATTATTGGTACCAGCAGATGAGCTACCAAATCTGCTGCCGAAGGCACTGCTCATGCGAGGGAGGGGAAATCACACACGGCATCTGCTATATCACACCAGGAGCCGTCAGGCTTCCTGGCCTTCTCTGGCTGTAGTCTCGGCTACAAGGCACACACAGCATCCACCCCCAGGATGCACTAGCTCTGGGATTGGCAATTTTATTCTGTTGGGTGTAATCGCCAACCCTTAGGGTTTCTGTCTGCAGTCGCTCCAACACTCGGCCTTCATGGCCACCCATGCGACTCACAGACCCCTGCTCTCAAGCCAACCCACTGCACAAGCACATGGGTTGGGGATCCAAACTTTGCATTTGGCTTGGGCTCTACCCCAAGCCACATTCCCCACCCGTCCCCCAAGGACGGCCTCCTCAGCTCCTCACCCTCACTCAAGAATGAGCAGGGCATCACCCATAGGTGATTTTACGAGACTCACAGGGCTTCAGCATACCCAGGCTGCTTAACAGCCGCTTTAGGGCTTCTCAACTTAGCATCAGTACCAGCTTTTGCCACCTTAGTTGGCTTTTCTCCTCCACCTGGCCACTGGGCATACACAGGCTGCTTTTGGCCATCTAGGCCCACTGGCCACCCCCAGATTCTCAAAAAATAAACATAACCTGCTAAGGTCCTCCGCCTTCTGGCGGGATTGTCAGTCCAAAATCATCAGTTCATCAGTCTATCAGTCCATTGGCCTCTCCCTGCTTCAGCAATGGCCTGCTGCCTCAGGGGTCATTGGCTGGTCCTTTCCGGTGTCGTTGGCTGGTCCTATCCGGTGTCGTTGGCTGGTCCTATCCGGTGTCGTTGGCTGGTCCTAGCCGGTGTCGTTGGCTGGTCCTTTCCGGTGTCGTTGGCTGGTCCTTTCGGGCGTCTCCTTCACGCCAGGTCTCATCCTGTAGCTCGTGGACGTATCCATCTTCTATACCGCCATGGTGCCTCCAGCGTCGTCACAGGCAAAGTCTGTTCTCCTTAGTCCCTCCAGGTCTTCGGAGGGCTCCAATACCCGTCTGCATGGATCTTGCCGACATACGCCAATTGTAAGGGGCAGGACAGGGCACAAGGCAGGTTTTCTGATCCCATGCAGATCGGGTAAAGGAGGAGTCAGAGTCCTCAGTAGTTTTGCAGGTTTTTTATTTGGGGTTCACCAGGCATATGGCAGGCAGGGGTGCTGGCTGGGGGGCTGGGAGGCTGGCAGGCCTCCCAGCCCCCAGCAAGTCCTCACTCTATCTGGGCTCTCTAGCGTTCGTTCTGCTGCTTCTCGGCTGCGGCTGCTGCTGCTGCTGGTGCTGGTGCTGCTGGCGTCCCCCCGTGACGCCGCCCTTAAAAGCACAGTCTTAGCTCAGCTGAATCCCATCTACCTATGCCCACACCCTATTCCAGGTGCCCACCATCAGGCATGCATTCAGGACAAGGATCCATCATCTATCCTGATGGCGGAAGGGCAGAAAAGCCTGATATTTTCTTTACCCTACAATGACTTAACAAACAAATATATAGTCACTAAATCACTGTGTTGTTAGTCTTTCATTAAATACATCCTACAGTTAATATTCCCGACTCTAGTTTCCTCTCTAATTTAGGGCAGCAATGATCCTTACCCTGGATAAAATAAGAAAAGAGATAATTATGCTGATTGCAAGAATGTAAAGCTGTTTATCAACATGAGCAGTTACAAGTGGAACCACCAATGCATTAATAAATGATTCTGAAGGTAAGTGGCTCCTCTCTGAGAAGTTAATTAAGTTTTTTAGGAAGC